TTTCCCCAAAAAGACATATAAATTCTCTGCTCCAAGTGGTATGGTAGAACCTCAGGGTCCTGAACTGTGAATCTCCTACTGGGGCATGACAGAAACTCCATGTTGCATTGTTTCCTGCCACCAATAACCACCATGCCACCTGCTAGACCCTCTGGCTCAGGCAGCAGAACCTGACCTATTACGGCCTCCATTAGTTACCTGCCCCCCTTATGGACCACTCTAACAGGATACCTTGATGAGAATCCAAATATGTAGATATCAAAGTTCTCGGCTCTTCTCAAAGCTGACAGTTTTCCAAATCACTCAATATTTGAGTCAGAGCTGGATTCCTAGGTGTGGAACATGCTGCTTCCAGAACCAGAAGAGGTCCAACAATGTCTTGCTTTCTAATTGTTGAAGGTGCCGGATGCAATAATTGTCTTTTAGTTTTGGAAAGCTGCCCTGTGGGACACTGCTGACCACTGGATCCCTAAAAATATGACAATGTAGCAGGCGCCTGAATCTTCATGGGGTTTATTATTTCCTCTCTGGAGTATCTGTATCTTACCAAGGTCTCCAGCATCTTCACCTCTTGCTCATCTGGCTGATGAACATGTTGTTATGGATGTAATGGGACAATGCAATTGTCAACAAAGCCTTCAGGCAAAACTATATTTGTTCCACGTGTCCCACAATCTGGGGGCCATCATCATCTGCCAGACATGTGCGTAAATGAGTCACCAAGAGAGATGCTTCTTGCTGTTTTATCCACTAAGTGTGTAGTACTTTGTTATGCGGCACTAGATACCCCATCATGCTAGCAGCATCCCTTCAGCAAGTTCACACCCAGTCTTTGTTCAGGTCCTAAACCCCATATCTCAGAAGATTGCTTATAAGCCAATAAACTCTTCTACCCAGTTTTATTTTTTAAAATTTATTTAAATTCAATTAATTAACATACAGTGTATTATTAGTTTCAGAGGTAGAGGTCAGTGATTCATCAGTTGCATATAACACCCAGTGCTCATTACATCACGTGCCCTCCTTCATGCCCGTCACCCACTTACCCCACCCCCCCATCCCCCTCCCCTCCAGCAACCCTCAGTTTGTTTCCTATGATTAAGAGTCTCTCATGGTTTGTCTCCCTCTCTGGTTTCATCTTGTTTTATTTTTCCCTCCCTTCCCCTATGATCCTGTTTTGTTTCTTATATTCCCCATATCAGTGACATCATATGATCATTGTCTTTCTCTGACTGACATATTTCACTTAGCGTAATACCCTCTAGTTCCATCCATATCATTGCAAATGGTAAGATTTCATTTTTTGATGGCGGAGTAGTATTTCATTGTATATATGAACCACATCTTTATTCATTCATCTGTCGATGGACATCTGGGCTCTTTCCACAGTTTGGCTATTGTGGACATTGCTGCTATAAACATTGGGGTGCAGGTGCCCCTTTGGATCACTCCATTTGTCTTCTACCCAATTTTATATTGTAACTCCCTTCCGATTTCTGCAAGGGTCATGCTGATGAATTAAACGTGTGGGGGACCACCACTCATTAAACACACTCATAATCCAGCCCCACACAAATTTTCCCAGTTCTTGGAAGTATATGTTGCCTGGTCTTACAGCTTGTTATGGATTGAATTTTATCCCCACCCCCTCTCAGAAAAGATGTTGAAGTACTAACCCTGAGTAATTGTGAATGTGACCTTATTTGGAAATAGGGTCTTTGCAGATGATCCAGTTCAGAGGAATTCATTAGGGTGGGTTCTAATTCAGTATCACTGGTGTCCTTTTAAGTAGGGGAAATTTGGACACAGAACCAGACACACATGTAGGGGAAAAGCCATGTGAATATGAAGGCATAGATCGGTGTGATGCACCTACAAGCCAAGGAATAGCAAACGTTCCAGCAAACCATCAGAAGCTGGGAGAGAGGAACGACAGCCTCTTGCAGCCCTCAGAAGGACCCAGACATGCTGTCATCTTTTTTCTTTTTTAAGTTTATGTTTCTTTAGTAATCTCCACCCCCGACAAGGGGCTCTAGCTCATGACCCCTAGATGTAGAATCGCATGCTCTTCTGACTGAGCCAGCCAGTGCCCCCATGCCATCTTCTTGTTCTGACTTCCGACCTCCAGAGACAAATTCCTGGTAAGCCATCCTGTTTGTGGTACTTCGTTGGTGAAGCCCTAGCAAACAAATACACAGTCCTTTTGAGGGGGAGGGGACTATAGCTCCCCTTGCATCTCATGTTTCCAGCTAAATTATGCCCCCCAAATAACTGTGATTCCATGCTTAGTGTCCAGGAGGTGGGGGAAGGAGTGCTGGCTAAACAGGGAGAGGTGAGCCACATGGCGAGGCTGGGGAGTCAAAACCTTTGAGGGTATCTAGCCAGATATCAAATACCTCCAACCCGTGTCATGGCCCCAGCTTTTCCCAACCAGGGCCCCAAACTCAGCATAACAGAACTGCCTTGGTTGGGTGCTTACCATCTTTGAGGTATTAATCCCTGGGCCTGGCCCTTGTCTTTATCATCTCAGTGTGGAAGATGCTTTATATGCAACCAAAGAGGCTCTGTGGCTTTCAACCGTCTGTTGTTAGCCATCAGCTATCCATTGTTTTTCTTTTTCCTTTTTAAATTATTTATTTTTTAAGATTTTTATTTATTTATTTGACAGAGAGAGCACAAGCAGAGGGAGCGACAGAGGTAGGAGAAGCAGGTTCCCCACGGACCAGGGAGCCCGACATGGGGCTCATCCCAGAACCCTGGGATCATGACCTGAGCCGAAGGCAGACGCTGAACTGAGCCACCAGGTGTCCCTGTTTTTCTTTTTATTTATTTTATTTTTTTAAGTAGGCTCCACGCTGGGCTCCCAATGCAGGCCTTGAACTCATGACCCTGAGACTGAGACCTGAGCTGAGATCAAGAGTTGGGCACTCTCTTAATCGCAGGAAACAAACTGAGTGTTGTTGGAGTGGGGGGTGGGGTGGGAGGGATGGGGTGACTGGGTGATGGACACTGGGGAGGGTATGTGCTCTGGTAAGCGCTGTGAATTGTGCAAGACTGTTGAATCTCAGATCTGTACCTCTGAAACAAATAATGCAATATATGTTAAGAGAAAAAGAAGAAGAAGAAGGTAGCGGGAGGGGAAGAATGAAGCGGGGGAAATCGGAGGGGTAGACGAACCATGAGAGACGATGGACTCTGAAAAACAAACTAAGGGTTCTAGAGGGGAGGGGGGTGGGAGGATGGGTTAGCCTGGTGGTGGGTATTGAGGAGGGCACGTTCTGCATGGAGCACTGGGTGTTATGCACAAACAATGAATCATGGAACACTTCATCTAGAACTAATGATGTAATGTATGGGGATTAACATAAGAATTAAAAAAAAAAAAGAGTTGGGCACTCAACCCACTGAGCCACCCAGGTGTGCCTGTTGTTTTTCTTAAGAGTATCAGTAGTACTGAGGAATAGCTACCCAATTCCATGATCCTTCTTGATAGCTACTGTAATGTAAAAAAGGCTCCATATGTCACCCACTTAGTGCATTCCACTTCACGTCACTGGTTACCTCCAGCTTCAGAGCTGGTGAGAAATGAGCAGATCACCACAGGGTCTGTGAGTGACCCAGCACATCTCCTCCCTCCCTTCCGCAGACCACTCCTGGTAGCAAGTGCTGTAGGATGGCTTCTCCACAAGCAGATGCTGAGATGGAGTTTGGGGGGTAAGACCTGTGAGAGGAAGGGGAAGGAAGCAGCACTGGGCAGAGGACGCAGAAGTGTGCAGAGGCCCTGCAGAGCTCTTGCCGGTCTGGTGTGCTCTGGGGCCGGTACTGATCCTCGGAGGGGTTCGGTGTTGGGCCCAAATGGCCAGATCTTCATGCTTGCGCTCCATTCAGGCACCAGCTGTGGACTGCCCCAGGCAGGATACGGCCTTGGGCACACCCGCTACAGCGCAGCCCTGCACACTTCCCCTTATGTATTTGGGGACCAGCTCCTTCAGGGGCACCCTGCAGACACACTTCCCCTTTCGGGATTCCCGGGCCTCCGGGGTCAGCTCCAGCAAGCTCCCAGCCTCCTCCTGTGTTGCTGCTCCCCGGTGCCCGTCCTCCCACTTCCGAAGGTCAGCGCCCGGCCCGAGACGGCGGCCGGAGCTCATTCCTGGTCAGTACTACACGTTCTGCGGCAGTTGAGAAAAGTAAATGAGCTAGCACATAGCAAAGCCTGGGACAAATGTCTGGCTCACGGGGGCCCGTGCCGGTGTCTGCTAATATCCCGGCCGGTGTTCCAAGTGTGCACAGGGTGTCCCAGCAGGGCTACTGGGAATCGGCGGAGAGCGCCGAGTGCAGCTGAAGGAACACTTGCAGGGTCACACATGGACAGACTGGCTGCTGTCACCCCGATGGCCAGTGGCTGCGCAGGCCCGCGGACCCCGGGCCCCCACCCCGAGGGCGCACAGGGCCGAACCCGGCGCGCGCTCCCGGCGCCCAGCTTCCTTTGCCCGCCTCTCCCGACGGGACTCCGCAGGGCACTCGCCGCATCCTCGGGGCCAATGGGAGCGAGCCTTCGGTGTTGCTGGGCGGGCCGGGCGCTCCGAGCCCGGCCCACGACCCGCCGCGCACGCGCACTCTCCCTCCCGCCCTTCCCGCCGCGCACGCGCATTGCGTGTAGGGCCGGCCGGGAGGTCGGGGGCGCGCGGAGCGGCGGCGGCGCCGCGCCCGCGCTCGCGCCCGCGCCCGCGCTCGCGCCCGCGCCGGTGCGGAGCCCCTCGGGCCGCGCCTCTACCCCGTCGCATTAGCTCCGCGCCAGGCAGATGCGGGCCGCGGGGCCGAGGGGAGCGAGGTAGCCTTCGCCCGCGCCGCCGCCGCCGCCGCCGCCGCCGCCGCCCGGCCCGGGGCCGGCCGGGACCGCGGCCCCAGCCCCTCCCGGGCGTGTTCCGGCCTGGTCGTGCGCGGGGCGCGGCCGGAGCGGGCCATGGCCGACCGCGGGTGTCCGCTGGAGGCGGTGCCGCTGCCCGCCGAGGTGCGGGAGAGCCTGGCCGAGCTGGAGCTGGAGCTGTCGGAAGGTGAGCGGCCCGGATCCCGCCCGGCCCTCACCCCGGACCCTGGGACCCCGGGACCCCGGACCCCAGCCCGGATCCCGCCCGGCCCTCACCCCGGACCCGGGACCCCAGCCCGGATCCCGCCCGGCCCTCATCCCGGACCCCGGGACCCCGGGACCCCGGACCCCAGCCCGGATCCCGCCCGGCCCTCACCCCGGACCCGGGACCCCGGGACCCCGGGACCCCGGGACCCCAGCCCGGATCCCGCCCGGCCCTCACCCCGGGACCCCGGATCCCACCCGGCCCTGACCCTGGAACCCCGGACCCCGACCCGGATCCCGCCCGGCCCTCACCCCGGACCCTGGGACCCCAGGCCCGGGCCCGGACCCCCGCCCGGCCCTCACCCCGGACCCCGGGACCCCGGACCCCAGCCCGGATCCCACCCGGCCCTGACCCTGGAACCCCGGATCCCGACCCAGATCCCGCCCGGCCCTGACCCTGGAACCCCGGATCCCGACCCAGATCCCGCCCGGCCCTCACCCCAGATCCTGGGACCCCAGACCCGGGCCCGGACCCCCGCCCGGCCCTCACCCCGGACCCCGGGACCCCGGACCCCAGCCCGGATCCCACCCGGCCCTGACCCTGGAACCCCGGACCCCGACCCGGATCCCGCCCGGCCCTCACCCCGGACCCTGGGACCCCAGGCCCGGGCCCGGACCCCCGCCCGGCCCTCACCCCGGACCCCGGGACCCCGGACCCCAGCCCGGATCCCACCCGGCCCTGACCCTGGAACCCCGGATCCCGACCCAGATCCCGCCCGGCCCTCACCCCAGATCCTGGGACCCCAGACCCGGGCCCGGACCCCCGCCCGGCCCTCACCCCGGACCCCGGGACCCCGGACCCCAGCCCGGATCCCACCCGGCCCTGACCCTGGAACCCCGGACCCCGACCCGGATCCCGCCCGGCCCTCACCCCGGACCCTGGGACCCCAGGCCCGGGCCCGGACCCCCGCCCGGCCCTCACCCCGGACCCCGGGACCCCGGGACCCCAGACCCTGGCCCGGATTCCGCCCGGATCCCGGGAGCCCCGCCCGGCCCTCACCCGGAGAACTGGACACCCCCCACCCCTTAGGCCGCCAGCCTTTGGGTTCCCGGCGGGTCACCGAGCCCTGCGGTTTGACCGGGTGGTTTGGCCTCAAGCACGTGAGTCGCGATGGGAATGACCATTTTTGTCCAAGCAGTAAGGCGGTGTTTCTCCGAGCCTCAGGCTGCAGGTCTGGGCTTCCTGAGGGTGGCCGTACCCAGGACCTGTGAGCCTGCCTCCAGCCTGTGTGTCCGTGTCCCCCTGTATTACCGGGTTGTAACAGCACCTGCCTGTCTGCGTCGTTCGGGCCAAAAGGACATACGCAAAGCACTGAACACGTAGAACGAGGTTGTTGCCCCATTTCCGAATTCTTAAAAATCCTAAAAAATTGAAAAGACGATGAACGTTGTTTGTTAAAAATAGACTGGAGTAACTGCACTTCAGAGGTGGGTGGCTTCGGCATCGAGAATGAGCTCTCCCCAAGACTTGTGTCCCGATGTTGTGTTCGGATTCATTGCACAAAGAGCAAGTTCTTGCCCAGTTACAGGGCAGCCAGCGGCCGTTGAGGAAACACATCTAAATGTTTAACTCTGTTTTTGAAACAAACGCATTTTCTCATAGTCCAGTGACTAAGTTTCAGGTTGGTAAGTGGGCTTAGGTTGGGGCAGTGAATTTTTGAAAGAACCATCTAAGTAAGTGTGTGCTTGCTTGGACTCACTGATTTAACCCTCACCAAGCTCAGGGTGGAGGGCGCGATTGTCCCCTTTGTTTTACAGATAATGCAGCATCTACTTGCAGCTGTTTTGAATTCAACACGGAAATTTTTTAAAGTTCTATGGTGAACGGCACATTTTTTTAAATGGAAGTGCAGTAAGAAGTGGGTGGACTTGAGAATACTTTGTGATTAGATGCTCTTGAGAAGTCTGAAAAACCCAAATTAGGAATGGTTCTGACAGGAAGTACTATCCTGAATTTGTTACAGTTCTTCGTCAAGGGAAAATCATGTAGATGCAGACTTCACACATCTCAAATACGGGTTTGCAGATTGCCCCTCATTTCTGCTCCAGTGTATTTGTTATTCCCTCAATTCTTACTGTTCTGTGGTTGTATGTTTGAGTGCTTTCTAGGAGTTGACAGATGAGATTGGATCCAGTGAACAAAACGCTTCTTAGTTGCATCCGTTTGTGCTGGCCTCATTTTAGATGTGTCTGGGGGATGTGGAGATGAGTAAAGGGTGTAAGGTTAGATGTGAGTGGAGAGGACCTGGAAAGCTAGCTTAGGCCGAGAAGGGTGTGCACAGAGCCTTGAAGAGAAGGGCAGAGTGCATTGCGCCAGGGAGGCAGGAGCCCTGGCCTGTGTCCCAGCTTCTAGCCTCGCCTGACACCTTTCCTTTGGCCCCAGTAGGTCCGTGGTTATTCAGGCCCGGGGTGTTCCCACACCTTCGATGCTGGCTTTTTCAGCTTGCGTCGTGATTGTGTTGATACAGGGCCTCCCTGTTGGACGCGGAGATGCCTTGTGGCAGGGACTGTCTCAGGCCGACCTTCGGCATCTGCACGCAGCGGCTGGCATCTGGCACGCGCCCCTGAACTTCCGTTGGATGCTAGCACCTCTGAAGGGGGGTTTGGTTGGCTGTGGGGAGGCGACCAGCAGCCTTATGGACGCCCCGTAGTTCCTGGAGAGTCAGTCAGATAGAGTGTGTGAGCATGCCTTAAAACTGGCGAGGTGTTCCTAGTGGAGCACAGTCCTGAAGCAACCCAGGTTAGTCTTGTCGTCATCACTTGCGAATTTTGATCCAGTAGAAGGAGGAGGTGGGACTCTGCCCTGGGCCTCCCCTCCCCGCGTTGTGTGTGCGGGGATAAACTTCTAATTCAGAGTAAAGAAATGTCAAAATAGGACGGCTTCACAGTGCTCACGTTTCTCTGAGTGAGAACTTGCATCAAGTCTAGCGTTGACACTGAGCTAGGCAGGTTAGGGGAAGAGGGACTTGACAGACAAAATGCTGCCCACGTGGAGACCGGTAGTGATGGATACCTGGACAATCTGGAAAATCCTGCACAACTTCCTTTGGCCTGTACACCGGACTAGTTGACTAGTAGTGATTGGTTGAGTGTGGCCCTGCCTTTATTCATGACTCACGTGTGGCCTTGTTCCCCGGCATCCTCACTGGATTGTCATCATTAACCACTACAATTGGGGTCAGCCCTTAGAGGGGTTCTGGTCTTGGAATACACTGATTTTTTCCTATAGGGCAGGTTTGCTGGCTTTATGTTATGGATTCCTAAGAGGGAAGTAAGGCATTACTCTGGCCTTGCCCCCTAACCTTCCCAGCGGTTTCACCCTTCTTAGGATCTCCTAGGAAGAAAGGTGGAAAGCAGAACCCCACTCTTCTCAGGCACCCCCCAAACCCCCCATCACGAACACACAGAGTTTACACGTGTGGCTCCTTAAAGTATATGAGATTGTCCGTGGATGAGAATGAGGTTATTAGACGTGTTAATTATTAAACAGGAATTAATTTCCAGACTCTGGTACTTACCTTTTATAGCGTCAACTTACCTTCTAAGTAGCTCACAGCTCATTTGGTTCTGTACAGGATCTCGGGGCTGGTGGTGCTGAACTCCTTGAAAAACCTGGAGGGTGGGGGCGCCTGGGTGGCTCAGTCGTTAAGCGTCTGCCTTCGGCTCAGGTCATGATCCCAGGGTCCTGGGATCGAGCCCCGCATCGGGCTCCCTGCTCGGCGGGAAGCCTGCTTCTCCCTCTCCCACTCCCCCTGCTTGTGTTCCCTCTCTCGCTGTCTCTTTCTCTCTCTGTCAAACAAATAAATAAAATCTTTAAAAAAAAGAAAAGAAAGAAAAACCTGGATGGTCGTGTCAAGTTGGTGCTGCGGTGGAGCGGCCTGCAGTGGTTTAGAAAGGAAATTCCTACACAATCGACTTTGTTCCACTTCTGTTTCTTTATTCCTATTCTGGTTAATAGGTCTATTTCAAAGCTTTACCTTTAGTCTGTTTCTTGTTTTACTGCATTTTGTTAATGCAGGGGCCTCAGCCTGGATGCTGGCAAACAAAAAGGGGAAAAGCTCTGTGGGTGTAGAGGAAGGGACTTCTTCACAAAGCTTTTTTCCTCGTTGAATGTTCTTAATGTCTGTAATTTGTGATATAATTCTTATTTTTCAAAACAGAAGCCTGACATTGCCTTTACATCAATAAACATTTGTTGTGCTTGCTAAATATTTTGTGGTATATTAAAGTTCTCACATGTCCACAAATTCTTTCCATCCATCAAAGCCCAGCCCAAATGCCTTCTCTGAGGTGGCTACGTATTCTTGGAAGTCTCATCACACTTGCTCCCACCTTTGAGATTCTTGCCACTTTTTGTTTTTTGTGTTTGTTATTTGTATATATTCGTGCATTCAGTAATTGTTGAGAGCCCACTGGCAAGCTAATGTTTCAGCTGTCAGAGGTCAGGGTTAGCTGCATTTCTCCATTGATGAGCTTTGCACACTGTTTTATTAAAAAGTAATGCAGATACAGGGGCAGAGAAGTGAAACAGTTCAAAGGAAGTGTGGGGTAGAGTGAGTGAGCATGAGTGTGAGTGTGAGTGTGTGGTGCGCCCCCCTCCCTACCAGGTGTTCTCTCGTGTCCAATTCCTGGGTTTCCTTCCAGAAGTAATCTGCCAGTGTGGTTCCTCTGGGGGTCCCTGGGACCTTTTCTGGGCACCTGTGAAGGAAGACTGTTTTCACAGTGACACGAAGATGTCATTTCTGTTTCCCGTGTTTGTACTGATGGTGCTGATGGCCGTTGTGCTCCTCAGCAACTCCCCGCTCAGCAGCAGACGTAGGCGGCACTGTCACTTACCTGTATCCTTCCTGATGAAGCAATAAAAATTAATTTTCTTAAATCTTGACCCTTGAATGCCCATCTTTTTAATAGTCCGTGTGAGGC